GAGCTTCAGGGGCTTATCTTACACTTACAGTATTTGTAAATATAAGCGAGATAAATCACAGATTTGTTGAGTCTTGACGAAAGTACGGTGCTGCAGAGGTGTTAGACTTTACTTTGTGACCTATTTTGCTCTTGATCTTTCCACTCAAGGATGCAGATCCATATGGGGTTTCGACAACAAACACGGAAGTTTAACCACCTCTATATGTCATGTAAAGTCAACACAAACATTCAGCAGAAATAAATGGCATTTCCGGCTAAAAAAATCCAAAAGTCCTGCTTCCATTTTGCTTACTGGCACCAGGCTGATTTGGTGTGCAGGTTATACCTGGCAAGTTACGCCGTAACGGCTGCCGTGGTTACTACTTCTTTGGAGGCTGAAGAGGATATCTGGAAGTTACATTGTTGGTCTGCCATTCGGATTGAGATTTTATCATCTCAGATTGTTAAACCTTCAGGTAGCAGCTAGGAGGGGAGAAACGGAAGGAAAGAATATGGAATTGTCAAAAGTCATAAAATGTTTATATTCTAGGTGGCATCCTTCTGACTACCATAAACATCTAACTACCTTCCTAGATGCTAGTGTCTACCCAAACTCTGCCATTCGGATTGAGATTTTATCATCTCAGATTGTTAAACCTTCAGGTAGCAGCTAGGAGGGGAGAAACGGAAGGAAAGAATATGGAATTGTCAAAAGTCATAAAATGTTTATATTCTAGGTGGCATCCTTCTGACTACCATAAACATCTAACTACCTTCCTAGATGCTAGTGTCTACCCAAACTCAAGCCAAGACATATTCTACAACTCCTGGTGTTCCAGTATGTGGATCCAGACAGTTTCCAGTCTCGCACGCAAAGATCTATTTAAACACCAGCGACACCCCTTGACCCTCCCAGCACAAACTAAGGCGTGCGTTCTTGTATATATAAAACAGCTTTTTTATTATTATTATATAGAGACCATCATGTTTACCAGTCAACAGTCACGGAGACTAGAGGTTAGTTCAATAAGCCATTATAATGCTTTCAAAACGGTGAGATTATATTTTTGTTAGTAGGAAATCGCGCAGTGTTATGGGTGCGTTACAGTACAAGCCACATACAGGAAGTACCAGCACAGGACTCCCAGTTATAGGTATGTATAGATCGATATTAAGAGACAATACATTCAGAATATCAGGCATAATGGGGGAAATATACACCGTTTACTTAATACATAGTATGACTTTCTAATTTCTTTCTTTGACATCAACACAGGTAATGTAGTACTATCATCACACGCGCGCGCACACGCACGCACGCACACACACACACACACACACACAAATGGTATCTGGTGCAGTGTTGTTAGTGGCGTTAAAAAAAATACACAACTGTCAAAATGAAACATTTACAGATTGGCTGATTGGTTTCCTGGTGGCATGGTATTTGAGACATTCATGAATGGAGCTCTATGGAGCTAAATAGTCCAGTAGTACAGTGCCTGCGCAAACGCCTACGTTGGCCCCGCGTATGAGTAAGCTTGTGCTGCTACAAGTAACACCAAACAGAGACTGTCCTAGTAGTCAGTGTTCTTGTAGTCAGTGTTCTTGTAGTCAGTGTTCTTGTAGTCAGTGTTCTTGTAGTCAGTGTTCTTGTAGTCAGTGTTCTTGTAGTCAGTGTTCTTGTAGTCAGTGTTCTTGTAGTCAGTGTTCTTGTAGTCAGTGTTCTTGTAGTCAGTGTTCTTGTAGTCAGTGTTCTTGTAGTCAGTGTTCTTATAGTCAGTGTTCTTGTAGTCAGTGTTCTTGTAGTCAGTCTCTAGGTCAACAGAAATAGCATCTAATGTACGACTTGTGCCCCCCCCCCCCCCCCCGCCCCACGTGAGTACTCTCTAAGTGCCAGGATAACATACATGAGTCCCATAGTCTCTATTAAGGGCGCAGCTTCTACCTTGCTGCGGTTGAAACAGAAGAAATCACTTCCTGGTTGGCAGAACGTGTATTTGCTAGTATCGCTATTGTGCCCAACCATGTCCAGACAACTTTACTGATAACATCACTGCAAAATGTGCCAATGTTAGCGTTGTTCTTTGTCATGATCATTGTGAAACATACAACTTTAGTATGGCTGTTTCCTAATGCGGAGATGAACTTTCGACACTGTACATTTTTCTTGGTCTGGCAATTTTGTCAATAATGTCCAGAAAGTGTATGTTGAGAATGTCCGGTAAACCCTTGCCTGGCGGTCATTGGCAACTACAACTGTTCTACAGGCTGTGGAATCTAATGAAATAATCATTACCGTTAACAGTTGTTCTACTTTGAAGACGAACGACGAAAGTGATTGTGCCAGATAAATGTGTTTGTAGACAAACAACTCACTCCTGATATAGACAGTTATGTCTGCTCTTCGTGATAGAAAGGTGGATGAAGAAACAGAGACATGATGGCTTCCCAGATGACTTCGAGGTCATCATCATCAAGTCTCATTCCTACAGACACATTTTGGCAGTCGTCATTTCTGATATCACACGATCACTAGTCTTGTATAAGGTCTGCCTTCTTGTGCCACTTAGGCCATGCAACAAAGCCATTTCCATTTGTATCCGTCTATCTTCTACTTGCTGTGTCCCCCAGGAAGTAGATTATTTGCCACATTTTCAAGTTTATTTCACCTTACAACTGAAGACTGCCTGCCTGTACTTGACTGCTTGTATTGACCACTTTTAGGACGGTGTCAAACCGAGGATCTTGAGTCTGAGGATGTGAGGTCACATGCCTCATACAGTCTGCCATAGACTGAGGTCACAGGGTTCATGCAGTCTGCCATAGACTAGGGTCACATAACGCATGCAGTCTGCCATAGACTGAAGTCACATGCCTCATGCAGTCTGCCATAGACTGAGGTCACATGACTCATGCAGTCTGCCATAGACTGAGGTCACAGGGTTCATGCAGTCTGCCATAGACTGAGGTCACATGACTCATGCAGTCTGCCATAGACTGAGGTCACAGGGTTCATGCAGTCTGCCATAGACTAGGGTCACATAACGCATGCAGTCTGCCATAGACTGAAGTCACATGCCTCATGCAGTCTGCCATAGACTGAGGTCACATGACTCATGCAGTCTGCCATAGACTGAGGTCACAGGGTTCATGCAGTCTGCCATAGACTGAGGTCACATGACTCATGCAGTCTGCAATAGACTGAGGTCACATGCCTCATGCAGTCTGCCATAGACTGAGGTCACATGGTTCATGCAGTCTGCCATAGACTGAGGTCACATGACCCACGCAGTCTGCCATAGACTAAGGTCACATGACTCATGTAGTCTGCCATAGACTGAGGTCACATGGTTCATACAGTCTGCCATAGACTGAGGTCACATGGTTCATGCAGTATGCCATAGACTGAGGTCACATGACCCACGCAGTCTGCCATAGACTGAGGTCACACATGGTTCATGCAGTCTGCCATAGACTGAGGTCACATGACCTACGCAGTCTACCATAGACTGAGGTCACATGGTTCATGCAGTCTGCCATAGACTGAGGTCACATGACCCACGCAGGCTGCCATAGACTGAGGTCACATGGTTCAGCCAGTCTACCATAGACTGAGGTCACATGGTTTATGCAGTCTGCCATAGACCACACAGATTTGGAATATCCCCCCCCCCCTCTTCTACCCACCCCCCCCCCGCCCCCTTCCTGATAGAAAAAAATCTCCATTCCTTATTGAGGATCAGATATATTTATATATGATAGTCTGATAGTCTTAGTTTCAGCTTCATAACAAACGGGTGGCCCCATCTTTGCTCCGCTCCTGTGCCAACGAAAAACACACAGAATGTTTATCACAGTCCCTTGTGGAAAGATTGACATATATATATATATATATATATATATATATATATATATATATATATATATATATATATATATATGTGTGTGTGTGTGTGTGTGTGTGTGTGTGTTTATGTGTGTGTGTGTCTAGTAAAATGTTCAACGTTATTGCTCGGTGAAATGATAATTTACGCTGTATTACTATTTTCATAACGTTTAATATCAACGAATTATTCATCAAGTTAAGGAGACATGTTTTTCAAACTGAAACATAATTCTGATCTGAAGTATGTGACGATGATAAATAAATTATGTTGGTTAGAATCTGTCTTAAATTATGCATTTAAAAAAAACTTACTTCTGGTGTTGCACAACCCCCCCCCCCCCCCCCCCCCCTTTTTTCCCCCACACCCTCGTACGGATAATTTCTGATAAAAATTAAATGTAATCTTATAGTTATAGGTGAGACTTTTTGTCTTCTGGCAACCAGTATGTTTAAAGTCTGGCGCACACACACACACTCACGCACACACACATTATGTGTACGCGTTTCCGGTTTAATTATGGTACATAGCGGTCTACTTATAATTTGTTTTTTATTTTTTAACAAATTTGCAAATTTCTTCTTCTTCTGCTTCTTCTTCTTTTTTTTCCTCTTCTTCTTCTTCTTCTTCTTCTTCTTTCTTCTTCTTCTTCTTCTTCTTCTTCTTCTTCTTCTTCTTCTTCTTCTTAAAAGCGAATTTGACACCTTGTGTTGCGGTCACATGTACGTAGTGTTACAACGCACTAGTTTTCAACAAAACCCTAATTAGCTGTTTTTTTACGACAGGTTTCTTAGTGGGGTAGAAGATAAATCCTTCCCTCCAACCCACCCCCCTCTTCCACCCCCCTCCCCGTCTTATAATGACCCCGATACCCAAACTAGGAGGTAAAGATATTCGATTAACACCCCCCCTCCCCCCCCCCCCCCCACCCCCCCCCCCCCCCCCCCCCCCCCATTTGATTCCAAGCAAGCATTGATTAATCAAGACGTACATATGTGCTCCCCCAGGCATATATTATCGGCCAGCAAAATTCCCAACATACGAAAACGCAAAGCGCACGCACATGCGGATTATATCACGATGCTAGATGTTGCATGCAAAGCACGGTACCAATGCAGACTTGGCAACTTACACTTGTGAACACCGCAGAGAGGCCGGCCTGGCAGTAACCTTGACGATGGTACTGGTCAATTATATCCGACCGGTCCACGGCTAAAAAGCACACCATGCAAAAATAAGCCATGTGTTAGCACATACTGATTAGACTGGGAAACGCAGAGTGGGTGGCCTCTGCGTTCTGTGTTTAATTATTTAAAAAAAAAAATTAAACCAAACCAAATGAGAAGAAAATTAAATGGTACTGAAAGGCAATTATGACATGAAGAAGCAAAAAAATTGGCAATTCAAATGTGTTGAAAATATGTGTGCAAAATATGGTGAAAATATTACGCAAATTGTTGAAAAACAAGGCCACTAAAACACAAACACACAATTACTAACCAACTAAAGGAGCCATATTGTTTTTTTTTTTTTTAAACGGCGGAATGTGTTAATGTGACTAGGCTGTATTATGAGTTAATAACACACCACAGTATATTAAGCAATTAATAAATTATGTATAGTGATACATTTTATTTGGAACATTTAATTTGCTAAACAAACATCTACATCGAAACTCTTGTAGACATCCGTTAATAGTGGTTTGAGCCTGTAAAGTTTGGCTTGCACAAGAGAAACACCGGTGCAGGCCAAACTTTACGGGTGGCTGAGTGAATTACAAAAGACATTGAAGTTCTTACCGGAGACATCACTGCAGATATAGATATTCTATTTTAAGCAAACGGAAAAAGAAGAAGTGGTTTTAATTTTTTACCCCCCCCCCTTCCCCCCACCCCACCCGACCTTTTTTTTCCCCAAGAAAGGATATAAAAATCAGACGTAGACAGGCGGTATATTTTGGATAAGTTATGAGAAAGAATGGACTCCAGAACTAGTTAACAACTGGCAAGGTTGATGGTAAGAGAGCAAGAGGACGCATAAGATCTTCTTGATCCTACTGATTATACAGTAATTCAGTTTCCTGTCTTTTGTTAGGACCACTGTAACAAACAGATAAATAACTGGATATCTTAGCCACACTGATGAGGTAAAGCAAGAACACTGGCCTGATCCTTGATTCTGGTGATCATTTGAGATAGTGAAATATGACAGCTCATGCTTACATGCGTGTTGATGATGATAAAGAAACGATTTGTGGCTACTTATTATATTTACCACCCAAACATTATTAGGACTAAAAATAATAAACATTTAATTTATGATTATAAGTGCTAAGTCGTATTTGCAAAAATAGGAATATTAAATAATTTATTGTAAACGGTACTTAATACTATAATCAATTAACTTTTTGGGAATCATTTCAGGAAATCCACATAAAATAGGGAGAAAGTAATCTAGCTAACTCACATACTGAATGACCCAGACAGGCCTATGGTTGTCAGATATGAATCAGAAGCACACACAGACGGTATGAAGTACAGGCTTGTAGTTTTCAGATAAGAAGCACACACAGGCAGTATAAAGTATAGGCTTGTGGTCATCAGATAAGAAGCACACACAGACAGTATAAAGTATAGGCTTGTGGTCATCAGATAAGAAGCACACACAGACAGTATAAAGTACAGTTTTGTGGTTGTCAGATAAGAAACACACACAGACAGTATAAAGTACAGTCTTGTGGTTGTCAGATAAGAAGCACACTCAAAGAGTATATAGTACAGGCTTGATGTTGTCAGATAAGAAGCACACACAGACCTTATAAAGTATAGGCTTGTGGTTATCAGATCAAAAGCACACACAGACTGTATAAAGTTTATGTTTGTGGTTTTTAGATCAGAAGCACACACAGACGGTATGAAGTACAGGCTTGTGGTCATCAGATAAGAAGCACACACAGACAGTATAAAGTATAGGCTTGTGGTCATCAGATAAGAAGCACATACAGACAGTATAAAGTATAGGCTTGTGGTCATCAGATAAGAAGCACACACAGACAGTATAAAGTATAGGCTTGTGGTCATCAGATAAGAAGCACACACAGACAGTATAAAGTATAGGCTTGTGGTCATCAGATAAGAAGCATACACAAGACAGTATAAAGTATAGGCTTGTGGTCATCAGATAAGAAGCACACACAAGACAGTATAAAGTATAGGCTTGTGGTCATCAGATAAGAAGTACACACAAGACAGTATAAAGTATAGGCTTGTGGTCAGATAAGAAGCACACACAAGACAGTATAAAGTATAGGCTTGTGGTCATCAGATAAGAAGCACACACAAGACAGTATAAAGTATAGGCTTGTGGTCAGATAAGAAGCACACACAAGACAGTATAAAGTATAGGCTTGTGGTCAGATAAGAAGCACACACAGACAGTATAAAGTATAGGCTTGTGGTCATCAGATAAGAAGCACACACAAGACAGTATAAAGTATAGGCTTGTGGTCAGATAAGAAGCACACACATACAGTATAAAGTACAGTCTTGTGGTTGTCAGATAAGAAGCACCCACAGTCAGAAGCAGAGAATCGCTCACAGATAGCACGTGACATACTCGTATTTAAAGTTCAAAGTTGGTGTAAATTACAGGCCAAGGTGAATCCTGGAAACAGAAATAAATAGCACGTAATCTGTAGATTCCATGTCAGAGATGGCCAAGTTAATGAGAGCTTTGCAGCCATGCACGGGGTTAAATACACGCACACGCATACATGCGCAACCCTCCCCCCCCCCCCACCCCATTTTTTTTCTCCTTCTCCACAATCCCTTTCCTCCTCAAAACTGAACCTTTTCTCTCTCCCGACAGGGCCATCTTAGCGCATTATATATCCCCGAGAAGAATCAGTGTGCCGGGGCCCCTACGACAACCTCTCTCGGGGATGAAATGTTCTTAAAAGAGTAAGTAAAGATCCCTTTTCATATCTTAGGCGCATCGGGCATATTGGTAGAGCACCCATATTTTTACAGACCAATTGGCACTAGGTGGGTAATGTGGTCAGCATTACGCCAGCCGTCTTTACTTCCCCAGGACAAACATCATGGTACGTATTTTTTAGGCTGGGTTGACCTACGACGCCCCACACCACGATAAAAATGCATGCAGTCAGCAGTGAGTTACGATCGCGGTAGGTTGGAATTACGAGTCAGACTCGCAACGCCTAAGCCATGGATGCCGCGATGAAATGTTCATGGTCGATAATATTTAACATAATATTTATTTTACTGGTGCTTCAAAAAAAACTTTGTTAAAGTGTAAACACAGATTAGATGCCACAGTATGAAATTACTACGAACTTCTTAAATGGCATCTGACATGCATTTTTTTAGAGGGTAGCTACTGCCCAGCCAAGCTTCAATCACAGCTTCGTGTGAGGTACTTACAATGCCATGCTGCAGCCATCAAACCCAGTCTACTGTAACTTTAAGTTAGAGGTTTCCTTCACAATCGGAGTACATCTACCTGAGAGGTAAGGAACCAACAGTCGGAAAGCAGGATCTGTAAAGCTGGTGTGAACGTAAAACTGAAGTTCTGGAACAAAAGCAAAGCCCGAAAGAGGACGAACAACCAGAACTTTCAACCGGAGTTTACAGTCGGGGACTGAAGTAAGTGAAGTCAAATCTGTTGCATACTGAATTTGACCTAGCTGGGACAGTGTGAATGAACGTAACTGTTGTTTATTTCTTGACTGAAAGAAGTTGTAATGGTTGACTGACAGAAGCTGTGATGACTTGCATGATGTGGCGGGTTAAGATCAAATCGTCTACGACAGAAGGAATTTCACTACTAGATCACCGTCGTCATTTCCACGACAAGGGGTCAGGTCAGCGCAGTCGATAGGAGGCTCGCTTTTAAATCCAGCTGCAACTCGCTGCAGTCCACGGCCGGTGTTCGAAACCTGTCGGTTCAGGGGGTTCACCCAGCCTCTAGAGTCTAAGTAATGGGTACCAGAGTTAACATTCTAGGAAAAATTGAGGAATGACGCTGTAGCTACGTAGGTACAGTCGGGCAGTTTCTTATCAGCTGTACAAACTGGTGGCAGAGCACTCATGGTTGATAACCGGGTCAAGGACGCTAGTTCACATAACTCGACTTCACCTTTTACCACGACAATATAATGACATTTTCTGACGAAAGCTGTCGCTCCCAGTCCGTATGTTAAAGCGTTGTATGCCAGATTGTATCCTGGACACGTCTTATGATGCTAGGCTCATATTAATCTTACAGCAATCGGCGTTCGATAGGACTTCATTTGGCACCCGTTTTCGGCAGGCTCGACAGGTGATATGACCTGCAGGACTTCATTTGGCACCCGTTTTCGGCAGGCTCGACAGGTGATATGGCCTGCAGGACTTCATTTGGCACCCGTTTTCGTCAGGCACGACAGGTGATATGGCCTGCAGGACTTCATTTGGCACTTGTTTTCGGTAGGCACGACAGGTGATATGGCCTGCAGGACTTCATTTGGCACCGGTTTTCGGTAGGGTCGACCTGTGATATCTTGATGTGCTTTGTTTAATTGTGAATGCTGGGATATGGAGCTTTTCAGTCCATGTTCTGTCGGTTCTAAAAGTGTGTGTGTGTGTGTGTCTGTATGTATTATGTGTGTATGTGTCTATGTATGTGTGTCTGTATGTCTGTGTGTGTGTGTGTTTCTGTGTCTGTGTGTATGTGTCTCTGTGTTTGTATGTCTGCGTGTCTTTGTGTATACGTAATAGTTCCCCGGAAGGTAAACTGTTTTAAAGTAAGGCTAACAATAAACAATATTTATTTAGAATCAGATATTTAATTGGAGGTACGAGTTAATCTCTGCTGATGTGGCTTGCTAAGCACAAATTATCTGACCCTTTCCATGAAGTTATAAGACAGACTAAATGAAAACAGAAGAAAAAAGTTACAAGCAAAGGGCCCTAGTCCACGGTTTTAGAAGTATTGGGTATTTAATGCTTGACCTTAGAAAACCGTAACATCCATTACATATTGAAGGGTTCAGGAAACACTGTTACAGTAAACTAGCAATTGTTGTTATTCTCCTGGTTTATTTTAAATTGTCTGCATGGTTTCATTTAAAAACAAATTTAATATTCTGCTGTCGTTAGTAAAGTAAAGGACCCTTTTCTAAGCTTTTCAGGCATATTGGTTAAATAGGGCTAGAACTATATTTTATAGACCAACGGCACTTGGTGGATGATGTGGTCAATATCCCGATTGCCACCTTTTATTCACAGGACTGTACCTGGTACCCACTCAAGGCTAGGACGACCTGGGAGTCAATGTCATTTTTTTAAAGAAAAAAAAAAAACGGCCCTTGACAAGAACCGAACCCATGACTTTCAGATCGCAGCCGAGCGTCTAGCCGCTAGACCACGGCTGCTGCCCATCGCTTCCGCTAAATTGACAAATCATTTTTCTATTTAAAATATATTCACAAAAGTCATACCTTATGGGTAATTTCTAACTGGATTTTAAACAACACAATCATTATTAAATCACATGAAAAACGTGCAACTTGTCACTTGTTAAAACATTTTTTTTTAAGTGAAAGAAAATAATCTCAGGTGAGCAACAAATTGTTTGCAGTAATTTGTCAGAAAAAAGACCGCATACAAATATCACAGAAATAACAGCACAGACATGTACTTATTACCTGCTGAACAGGGCGAGTACTTCTCGTACTTGGTTGTGCTGGTTTTGGCCAGGTAACAAACTCCAACAGGCTCTTGTTTGTCCAACAGTTCCGAAAAGTAGACGTATCTCGGAGCGCAGGCCTGAAAGTAATTATGTATACAGTTAAAAGTAATTATGTATACAATTTCAGCTCGGGAATGTTCAGTAAAAAAAAAAAGTTTTCATTATACACATTGTGAACTAGGAAACGCTGTAGTTTAGTGGCTAGTACAGTTATCACTGGCTCTGTTGGTCTTGAAGTGAAATTCGCATCAAATCCCCGTCTATTTTATGGACAATATGACTGCGAACTCAAATCAGCCTCATAAAAAGGTGTACCAGAAATATGTTCCGGGAGAAGGAAGAAGAGAAGGAGGAGAGGATGGACAGATAAAATAAAGACCATGGAAAAACTGAAGCTACGAAGGAAATAATGTTAATTTTTTACAACAATGAGAGACTGATTTAATATAATAATTAACTATTTAAATGCCGCAAAAAAAAAAAAAAAAAACATTTCTAATATCGCACAATACTGTAAGTTGCATATCCTTTACAGGACGCTGCAGAACCAACCCGAGTATTTTTTGGCTCTTGTGTTTTTTTTTTAAGCAAATGTTACATTAGTAGTTTGCCATTGCTCATCGAACGGTCAGCTCTGAATACCACTGTCGAACCCAACGCTGGACGTTCTGCTGCCAAATGGAAACCGGCACCCTTGCATTACGAAGCGTGTTTTCAACGCCTAAGCCACAAATGTCTATCACACAACACTACAGTAACCTAACTGGACGGCCTTATAGAAGGCGGGAGTAAATTATTACAAATCAATTCAATAATATACACAACAAAAGACGCAGTTACGTGGGCAGATATTATTGCCTCCCAGAGATAGTTAGCTCAGTGGATTGTGAAGAACACGGAACAACTAGATATATAATATGAATCATGAGACATTTTGAAAACACACAAGAAACAAATCATGAAACAAAAGAAGACGTAGAACAAAAAGGAATAGTTGCAATACAATGAAATGGAAAACTAAGGTGCCTTTATCCGCTGTATTAACTAACATAGCAACTTGAATGCAGAATGATTTATATGTGCACCTTGTACATTATTCACAGGCTTTTGAGACCCACTCATAAATAAGATAGCAAAATTAACAAAGACAATGGCAGAGGGAAACTTGTCAACTACGACCAGGTAAAAAAATTATCGAAAAGAGAAGGTGGTAATATAAATATATATGCTCAGGTCACACAGGGCATATTACAGTCATATTACATTGATACATGCATAAATGCACTGAAGACGGCTGGCGATGAAGGAATGGGTCGACAAAAAATAACAAAACAACCACAGAGTATGAGGAGGCAATTGAAGAAGAAGAAGAAGAAGAAGAAGAAAAAAAAGAAGCAGAAGAGGAAGAAGACGACGAAGAAGAAGAAAATGGTGATGATAATGACGAGGTCATCTCTCAACAAAGCTCATCTTACACTAAAGCCTTTTAACAAAGCTCATCTTACACTAAAGCCTTTCAACAAAGCTCATCTTACACTTAAGCTCATCTCTCAAAAAATCGCGTCTTTCAATAAACCTTTTTTTTTTTTCAACAAATCTAATCTCTCAACAAATCTCATATTTAAACGAATCTTTTTTTTTAAACAAATCTCATCTGTAGAAAATGTAGTCTTTCAACAAATCTCATCTTTCACCAAAGCTCTTCTCTCAACAAAACACATCTTATACCAGCGGTCATCTCTCAAGAAATGTAATCCTTGTCCAAAGCTCATCTCTCAACAAAGCTCATCCTTCACAAAACCTCATCTCTCAACAAAGCTAACCTTTTACCAGAACTCATCTCTCAACAAAGCTTATCTTTCACTAAAACTCATCTCTCAACAAAGCTCATCCTTCACCGAAGCTCATCTCTTAGCAAAGCTCATCTTACACAAAAGCTCATCTCTAAACTAAGCTCATATTACACCAAAGCTCATCCCCCAAAGAACCTCATCTTTACACCAAAGGTCATCACTCAAAAAAGCTATATTTAACCAAAGGTAATCTCACAACAAAGCTCATCCTTTACCAAAGCTCATCTCATAACAAAGCTCATTTTACACAACAGGTCATCTCATAACAAAGCTCATCTTACACAACATGTAATCTCTTAACAAAGCTCATCTTACACAAAAGGTCATCTCTCAACAAAGCACATCTTACACAACAGGTCATCTCTCAACAAAGCTCATCTTACACAAAAGGTCATATCTCAACAAAGCTCATCTTACACAAAAGCTCATCGCTCAACAAAGCTCATCTTACACAAAAGCTCATCGCTCAACAAAGCTCATCTTACACAACAAGTCATCTCTCAACAAAGCTCATCTTACACAAAAGCTCATCGCTCAACAAAGCTCATCTTACACAACAAGTCATCTCTCAACAAAGCTCATCTTACACAAAAGCTCATCTTACACAAAAGCTCATCTCTAGGCAAAGCTCATGTGACACCACCGATCATCTCTCAACAAAGCTCATGAGACACCCCTGATCATCTCTCAACAAAGCTCATGTGACACCACTGAATCATCTCTCAACAAAGCTCATGAGACACCACTGATCATCTCTCAACAAAGCTCACGAGATACCACTGAATCATCTCTCAACAAAGCTCACAAGACACTACTGATCATCTCTCAACAAAGCTCATGTGACACCACTGAATCATCTCTCAACAAAGCTCATGAGACACCACTGATCATCTCTCAACAAAGCTCATGAGATACCACTGAATCATCTCTCAACAAAGCTCATGAGACACCACTGATCATCTCTCAACAAAGCTCATGAGACACCACTGATCATCTCTCAACAAAGCTCATGTGACACCACTGAATCATCTCTCAACAAAGCTTATATTACACCAAAGATCATCCTTCAAGAAAGCTCATCTTACACCAAAGCTCGTCTCTCAACAAAGCTCATCTTTCAGAAAATCTTTCTCACCAAATCTCATCTCTCAACAAATTTTTCCTTCTTAAAATGTCATCTTTTAACAAATCTTAGCTTTCAACAAATCTAATCTTTCAACAAATCTCATCTTCCAATAAATTTCATCTTTCAACAAAGCTCATCTTCCAATAAAACTCTAATTCCAACAAAGCTCATTTTTCAAAATATCGTAGAACTGACTGACGATACTATCAACAGGCCCTGAAACAGTTCCAACGGTTCAAGTAGGGCGCCGCGGGCCGGAAACCGGTAAGTAGACTATGGATATGATCAGAGGCACCGTAATTGTTACGGAAACCATTGACGTGAATGCTGCGGTCATAATTGTGCAGCTATAACAGACTGTGTCTGTCGTCACAAAAAGATAACAGTGCACTAAGTTCCCCTTTAAGAGATCTACTTACGGAATTGCGACAACGTTGTATTCAACCATTCAGTATTCAAGAGAAGCAATGAAACCGCCGTGTCAGCGAACACGGTCAAATAATCAACTCGCTGACAGATCAACTGACATACATTTCGACAGGAGTATATTATAGTGGACCTATAAATACACATTCACAACGGCTTGGAAATTAAACATTTCTATAGATGAAGAAGCGACAGACAGAAACACAGACAGGCAGGCAGGCAGATAGATAGAGAGAGAGAGACAGACAGACAGAGAGAGACAGAGAGCGAGACAGAGACACAGACAGACAGACAGACAGACAGACAGACAGACAGACAGACAGACAGACAGACAGACAGACAGACAGACAGACAGACAGACAGACAGACAGACAGACAGACAGACAGACAGACAGACAGACAGACAGACAGACAGACAGACAGACAGACAGATAGAGACAAAGAGAGACAGAGACAGAGACACAGACAGAGAAACAGACAGACGGACGGACGGACGGACGGGCGGGCGGACGGAGGGAGGGAGGGAGGGAGGGAGGGAGGGAGGGAGGGAGGGGGGAGGGACGGACGGACGGACGGACGGACGGACGGACGGACGGACGGACGGACGGACGGACGGACCGACCGACCGACCGACCGACCGACCGACCGACCGACCGACCGACCGACCGACCGACCGACCGACCGACCGACCGACCGACCGACCGACCGACCGACCGACCGACCGACCGACCGACCGACCGACCGACCGACCGACCGACCGACCGACCGACCGACCGACCGACCGACCCGACCGACCGACCGACCGACCGACCGACCGACCGACCGACCGACCGACCGACCGACCGACCGACCGACCGACCGACCGACCGACCGACCGACCGACCGACCGACCGACCGACCGACCGACCGACCGACCGACCGACCGACCGACCGACGACCGACCGACCGACAGACAGACAGACAGACAGACAGACAGACAGACAGACAGACAGACAGACAGATAGACAGACAGATAGATAGATAGATAGATAGATAGATAGATAGATAGATAGATATAGATAGATAGATAGATAGATAGATAGATAGATAGATAGATAGATAGATAGATAGATAGATAGATAGATAGATAGATAGATAGATAGATAGATAGATAGATAGATAGATAGATAGATAGATAGATAGATAGATAGATAGATAGAGAGCATTTTGTTTTAAAATTTAACTAAATATTTGTCACAGCTTGAAACAAAAATTACAATAAACATTTTGTTCTGTTCTTCTGTTCACTCAGTTGCTACAGTAAACAAACGAATATATTCACAGAACACCAAAATCCACTCTTGTCAGAAGTGACACGCAAAGAGTTGGCCTGAATTGGCCCACTCAACTTGCCATGTTTCCTTGAGGAATATGATCCCTCGTGGAACAGTTAGGGCCAAGTGAAGAAGGGACGGACAAGATAAATCATAGAGTGATAACAGAAAGGATCGGGCAAGCCACTTCATGGCCACACGTGTATACCTCACCAGAGTCAAAGATCAATGGGGGTGCTGACACGAGCGCATCCATCTTGGAACTCCTGCGGCCCGTAAATGGGACAGTGGGGTAGAAGATTTATAGCGTTTTCTTCCCTCCTGATTCTGGGTGTGCTGACCAGCCTGGAGTTGTCTGT